CATTCCAATTATTAATTCCTTTACATAATGACTGGGTCAAAACTAATCTAAAATACAGTCTGTTTTAATATCTCACTCATGTCCAGGTGGGATGGATTGTGCAGATCAGCCCTGCACCTTACATCAGCGTTCCCAAGGAAACGCTATGATTCACTAAAATAAATAAATAAAGTGCAGAATAACAATTATATAACTTTATGGGATACTTTGGCAGTTGAACTTGGTATGTCTGTGCTGCATCTTTCTTCATCCCTCCCTGTCATGCCAACAACAACAGGATAGAAATTTTAATCTGAAGTCATCACCAAACTTGACCTGTGTGTGCTGTGGAGCTATTACTATTGTAATTGTCTACATTACATGAATACACAAACATTTTACAAAGGGGAAATAAAAGGTGTCAAGTGTTTCACCCCCTCACTTTGCCAGTCTGCAATAACAGTGTTAATATAATGGACCAAAAATGTTGGGGAAGCCTTCCCTTAACCACTGTACCATCAGAGGGTTTAACTCTCATTTGGATGCACTGTACAAGCACAAATGCCTTAAGAGTTCAAGCATGGGTGTCTTCAAACCTGCATCTAAATGCTATCGTCCTAATTTGTGAGATGGAAACTTGATTTATTGCATATGTTTGGTTCTTCTGAAAGGCAGTTAATCAAGTAGTATTCTCTCTGTGCTGTTTATTGTTCCTTTATTGTCAATCAATGTGACAAGGAGGAGATGGTCTTTTAAAAAATGACCCTCTTCCAAATATCAATTCCAGTAGTTCAGCGATGAAAACAATGTGCATGTGAGTGAGTGTGAGTGTGTGTATGTGCTCCAGTGGGTGAATTAATGAATTAGCTGTCAGGCCCAACCTATCCTCAACCTTTTCTGCAACAGGGACACAAATCACTGACCTGTCCTTTCTGCTGTGATCTGAGGGGCTTCATCAAATGACAAACAGGCTAAAAGCTTTTATTCCCTGACATCACTCTGTATTCCACATCTGCGTGTTATTATTATGTGATTGTGTGCGTCTGTGTGTAATTGAACATTTTGAACCTTTGAGCCAATATGCCTCAAATGAATCCTCAGCTCCCACATCAAAATGATTATTTCTAAACAAACCGTGTTTAATCGACTGCGTGCCACTCTCCATCTGGAGGATGCTGCGTGACAGCTTCCCTTAAATTACAAATATCAATCTGCCACAGTGGGAGCTCAGCTGCCAGTGGCCTCATGGGGGTCCACGTCAAAGCAACCAGCCTTCAAAACAAAGCCATCAAAATGTCGAGCTCACTAGATGTTTTGTTCTCAAACAAACACGTCCGTCACAAGATCAAAGTTCTACTGAAATCACCAAATAACTGAGCAGCAAGGACTTGCAGTACACAGCCCCAGGATGATGTGAAAAGCTCCTGATAATACAAAGAAAATAAAAGTCTAAACTGAGCTGGATTCAGTAATGAAGCTGAACTGAAGTTGGCCCAGTGTGAGGTACTGGGTCAGCTCTGTGTGGCTCCACCCCTCTTTCCCCCCGCTGCAGGGACCGACAGACGCCAGCACCAAGGGCTCCCAATCTGCTGTGTGATCAGCGGGACTCTCCCTAAGCGTGTTCCCCCTCCTCATCACCGGCTGTCTGCCCGCGGCAACACTACCACTTACACTCCATCCACCCGCTTATTGATACACTTCACCGCAGGATCGCCTTCGAGTGCTCCTTGGGAAAGCAATGGGTCTGCAGGGTGGCCTAATTCAATCAGTGTTAGGGGAAAACACACACATCATTCATCACCAACACAGGACTAGTCCGGGAAGGCCCAGGAAGACTCTAGCAGCTCTTCCTTCTTACTAAATGATCATTAACACACAAACAAATCGTCTTGCTGTTGTCCCACAGGGCAGTGAGCAGCCCAGTTAATCCAGTACAGATTACATGAGCAGTGTGCTGTGAAGATATTTCATACATATTCATTCACATACATTGATATTGGGCAATAATAATCACAGAAATGCAATGCAGTCAATTATTAGGGATGTGGTAGTTGTCATGGCTTCCCCAGGGTTAATTTGATTTTCACTTGGGCTGAATATTGTTTCCCAAACTATGCTTATTACAGGCATGGAGCGCACCCTGTGCATTACAAAAGATCAAGGGGTTTTAACCCTTTGGAATCCAAACAGAAAGAGAAAATGATTTCAGTAAGCACAATCAGTGTATCAAATGTGTCTCAGTAGAATTGTATTTTAAGGCATATTAATAAAAAATGCTATAGTATAACATGTGGCATGATATGAGCGACAGAAAGAATCCTTGAATTCAACATCTGAAATACTAACAAAACTCTTAACACTGGCTTCAAAGGCTTTATGTATGTCTCAGCATGTTTCACACACTACACACAACAAGAGCAAAAAATTCTGTATTCTATGATTGGATTTGCATTAATTATTAGCATGAAAGAAAGACTGAGAAGAAATTATTTCTTTCAAATAAATATTATATAACTGAGTAGCATGGGCTAACATAACTGGCCCTCAAGATATTGCAATTCTGTTTGTGATAATACTCTTTTTTATAGTGTTGATATGCTCCATTTTCACAAAGCCGAATCTTACATGGCCAAGCCCAGCACCACTTCATGATGATCAGCTACTGGATTTTAACACCACTCAGTACCAATGCAGATGAAATTTAAAGTATACAGGGTTGTGCAGGTCAAAACTAAGAAAAACATAGGGCACAGGATACATGACATGTGTCATTATACCATGAGCAGTGCAACAATGGGACATGTGTTCATTATGATGAGTAACATGTAATATGTAAGAAACATGTTGCTTAATTTACATGATGGTAGAATGAATCCCATTATCAGAAATTTAAAAAATAAAATATAAATGCAGCTTATTACTAAGACCCATTGTTTTCTTATGAATGCACTCTGACCTCATATGTTTACTTGTGACAGGCTCAGAAATACATACATGCATGTGGCTCAGTAGTTGCTCAAATATTTAAAGATAAAATGCAGTGAGACAGAGTTACTGCAGCCACTGAACATTTCAACTTACAAAATCCGCCCAGAGTTGAACAAAGGAGCTGTCTGTTTCAGCACCACAGACAGTTCCTGTCATCTTCCCTATGATGAGGTGCTGCTGGCAGCAGCGACGGCCTGCCACTTTTATCTGCTGCACGTTGTAACATCAGACACAAGTGACTTTACGAATTCATTAATGCAAGGCTCTATGCTCATAAAATTTACACCGAAAATCCAGATTGACGCAGAGACATTTTCTTTCATGACTTTCTATTGGTTAACAATGTGAATTGAAGCTGTGGCTCACCTCCAAACGGCCTCTGGCATGTCGTCTCTGCCAGCACAGATAGATATAGGTCACCTGACAAACTAGAAAACACTGTCTGCTCTGATTAACAGTGTGTAGGCCAAGGCTTGGTGTCTTCTGAAATTGCAGTCCAGCGAGCACCGGTTGAGTTGTATTGAGTTTTAAGCAACTTAGACAGCCTCTGTTGTTTATGAGTGTGAGAGAGACAGAGAGGGAGAAAGAGAGAGAGCCTACCTTGACACAAGCATGCGCTCACACACAGCACATATTCAAGATGAACCCAATAGCCCCTGACCAATAGACCACCAACAATCTGTCCTCAAAACGACTTTTTGCTGGATCAAGCAAAGACAACATAAAAAAAAAAATAATAATAATAAAAAAAAAAAAAAACAAGAAAAAAAATAATGTTGACAATTCCTGAGGGTCTCGACTAAAAAGTGGAGCCGCTCAAAGTGCTCCAGCATTTCTGATCCAGGCGCACTTCCAGAAATAGGATCATCATCAATCACCACTCAGATACCTGCGTCATGCGTCGGTATTCACGGTTCCACCCAAGGGACCGCGCTGTTTGTCCCCATGGGAAACTCGTATACAGTCTAGGTCGAAATGGCAAGGGACCCGAGTCTGTTAGAGTACAAGCTGATGAGGCATAGAGCTGTCACTCTAATACAGTTAAATGACCGTAATTATACGGAAACTCTTAAAAAAAAGATGACAGCGTGTGCTCGTGATTTGGCATCTCCTGTAGTCTGTGTCTCCAATTTAGACTCTGTAACTACAGTGACGCACTCTCTCACACGCGATCATTTCAAACTCAATCACTGTGAATGTGTGCGTGCACGTGACACACACACAGAAGACACACACTCACATGCACGCACACACGCGCGCACACACACACACACACACACAAACAAACACACAGGGAGAGAGGGAGAGAACGAGCATGATAAGTTCTTTTTTTGTGGCGCAACCATTAAAAAAAACTTGGATCTATTTTGTTGTTGAATCGTTGCCTCGATGCCACCAGCAGCCTGTATCCACGGTATAAAGCCGGGATTGTGCTTATAATAAGGCTTACTGGTAGACTGTCTTCAGGCAAAGCTGCCGCTTCGTTTACACCTTTATCTAAATCCTCTCCTTAGTGAGCTCCAGTGAGCCCGGCGGGCCGGTGTGTGAGACTGCACTGCAGAGGGCTTCTCCGGCATCTCAGTGACTGAGCTTAGGAGCAAACATATCAGGAGCCAAATATTCAGAATAGTGACATTCACTCCTAAAACACAGACATTGAGATCCCCTCTCACTCTGCCACACGCATACATTGTACTCTCATTTCTTCAACTATGCTTTCTGGATGTTTGTAGCCTCCAATGATCCGTGTTCGACCTAATATCATTGCTGCAACAGTGGCAGGTGCTGAAGTTCTCCTTTTTAAAGCATTAAATTGGCCCAGAGCCTTTTTAAACTGATGAGGATTAAATCCTCACCACTGTCTTTTTTCTAGAATAACTGCTGCAAGTGTCCGACAGAAACCCAGAGTCACAGGCGATCGATTCACTGCCGCAATAGTCGAAGAACCAGTTAAATTGAGGTCTGCCAACTTTATCAAATAATCAGGAAAAAAGCCGTGTTAGGTCGGCAAGCCAAAAGGAAAACTGGCCTACCTTCAACTCGATTCCAAAATGGTACAACGCTGTTTGTCAGTCAGTGGGGAAGGCTCTGGACATCACAACTCCAAGTCAATAGAGAAAACACGTTTCCATGAAATGGGTGCAAGCCAGTGATAGTCTGTGTTTCTGCGAGGTCACCCATTCAGCCAATCGTCCGGTTTAAATCCAAACAGAATAATGGAGATCTTGTCTCTGTCTTTTGGGGAAGAAGTGCGCCAAGCGCTCTCCTACGCAGATGTGACTTTGCGCGCCTGAAATAAAACGATGATGGGTAGAAATGAAAAAAAAAGAAAAATACTACTACAACCAATAAAAAAATATATATCAAAACGAATGGGGGCGAAGCTGCGAAATGATCACCCCCCCCCTCCAAAAAAAAAAGAAAAAAAATCTGACAGCTGACTTTTGCGCAAATCGGTCTTAATTACTTATCCTCTCCTGGGGGCTTGACCATCCCAGACGCACTGGTTGGTGCGATCCTCTGCACTCAGCCGCGTCGCGGTGGAGATGGGAAAAAGAAATGTATGGATATAATGGCCAGATCCGATGGGGGGTTTCCTCCACAGCTCCGCTCTGTAGTTGCGATGCACACGACGAGAAGGATCTCTCCCCGGTCCTAGTGCACCACACACCGTCCCCTGCTGGATCTAACACACGCCGCGGCTGCACCTGCACTCTGTCATTTTCATCGATTAGACAGTGAAATGGATGAGGGGGAAAAATTCCAGCAGACACCCATAACTCAGCTCAAAGCTTCAGCGCTGAACAGAGCGAGAGGAGCAGAAAGGGTCCTCACTTGTTGGAAGAGAGGCATGGTGTGTGTGTATTTGTGCTTGCGTGCGTGTGTGCGCGTGTGATGGTTGTTTGGGGGTGGTTGGAGAGGGTATGAGGCTTCAACTAAAGTCTGAATTCAAATAAAGTTTCATTCATGTTAAATGTCCATGCAAATTAAATGATTTAGTGCCAGACAAGTTCAAACAGTGCTCCATTTTTTTCTCCAGTTTAAATTGTTTCACTGCTGCAGTTCAAAAAAAGAAAAGAAAAAAAGAGCAAAGGCAGGGCTGGATACTGTAGTCAGATCTAGGCTGCAGCATGTGGCATAAAGCAAAACAGTGGTGACTGATGAGATGAGCAATATGGAAATCAATCCAGTCAAATGTTATCATACAGTTAGCCAGTGATCAAAGGAAACTGACAAAAACTGTGGTGTTTATAAAAGAAAAAAAGATGTCAAAATGTGACCACTCTTGACCGGACTTGTTTCACTGTGGGAGTCATAAGAACACACAGGAGAAACGGCTCTTTCAGCACATCTGAAGCAACATTTGAAGGCATTTTACCACGGTGTTGGTTGTGTTATGATCTTGCTAGAAGTCCATAACATGACTTTAAGATATTCACAGACTGTACAGTTTATGAACAATGGGGCCCTGTGGGCACATATAGGCTAGGATATCTGCTGCTCTACGGCCGGATTAACCTGTTGGGGGGCCCCGGGGTAAAATGTGGCCAATATTGACCCCCACTGTGAATGGCAGTTGGTCACCAAGAAATACTCTACACCTGAAATGATTAGTTAATTAGTTGATTAGTCAAGTGACAAAGATTAATTGTCAACAATTTTGATAATTGATCCATTGTTTAAGTCATTTTAGGAAAAATGGAAATATGAGAGTTTTACATGATAGTTAACTCTAACTAACTGACTGTTGATTAAAGCTATTTGGATATGTTTACATGGGCTTCTTGGAATAGTGATGGGGCTTCTACCACTATTTTCTGCCATTTTATACATTAACAAATCAGTCAACTATTACAGAAAATAATTTTCGGTCGTATTGACGATGAAAATAATTGCCTCACAATTCTCCTATGATGGAGTTATACTGCCTTGCAGTAGGTTTTGTGAGTCTTAATAACTTGACACACAATTTGACAAGTTGATAAAACACTACTGCAAATGTATGAAAAATAAAAACACTAACGGTCTAAACACTAGAATTTCACAGTGGATCTCTTTATGGCTACAAATTGGGGGAGGGAAGACCCGTCATAGTTACAAAAAGATGAATACATTTATTTCTTTTGTGGTTCATTCAAGACTGTCTCATCTACTGCATGGGAGACAGCCCCAGAAGCTCACAGAGAACTATTTGAAAACACTTGTTATAAAGCATAAATCTCACCCTCGTGTCACTTGTCTGCATTTGTATTCAAGTGTGTAGTTGGCTCATTGTTGCCTCTAGTGGCTGTTGGCGTATTAAAAAACAAACAAAAAAAAAACCAAAAAACAAAAAACAAAAAAAAAACAGCGGTTCTCATCAACCGTCAAGTACCACAGCCTCAAGGGGCAGTGTAATGAGCCCATTGCTGCACAGCGCACCAGACCAAGGCAAAGAAGACACCACACTCGAAAACAGACTTGGAGGACCAACTGATTGGTTCTGCAAATGTTTGTCTCCCAAGCGGAAAATGAGACAGTCCCGAACATGGCTATTGTTTCCTATTTGGCCACTGAGTTATTTGTGTGAGGGAAAGATATACACTGACGTTTGAGTGAGCCAATAAGTTACAAACATCTACAGTTGCACTAAATATTTTAAAGTCTGACAGAAATTAAATTGCATTGCTTTGTCTGTTGCAGTCAACACCTATCAACAGCAGTAGGGTCACAGTTCAGTCATAGGCAGACATCATACTGCCTCACATCCAGACTAAACTCTGCTAATACAGCACAAGAGCCACAAACTTTGGAACAACTTGGGAAATCTTCTCCCACACCTTAGCTCATTGAACAAGCAACCAAACATAAATTCATTACTAACTACCTCATTATAATGTTAGTTTGCAGGCTACAGCTAATTAGTAATTAAACTTACCTAGAAAACTCGCTTAAGACCTGCTGCTGTCAATCAAACACAGATCCCTCCAGCTGAGAAAAGGAGCATTTTTGACATTTCAAAGACTTTTTTTCTTCCTTTTAACTGAATCAAACTATTAATAATAATAATAAAAACATATTTTTGACCGCAAAACATGACCTTTTCTATGTTTACAATTTATGATATTGTCATTCTGATTTTCCATATAATCTTGCCATCTAAATCCATCTGTCCTGGAAAAGACCACTGGCTAATGCTGGACAGATTGTAAAGCCCCCTGAGGCCAATTTGTGATTTTTGATATTAGGTTTAAGAAATAAAAATTGACTAAATGACTAAATGTAATTTCAGTTGGATTTTAAATGCACTGCACACACATGGTGAAGCCACACAGGTGATTTAAATATTTCAGCTAATTAGACTCTCCTCTGCTTGACTGACATCTCGTTGACTCTCCTGTTAATTTGTTGCAGCTGTGAGAACAGGACAAACTATCTCCTTTTCAATATCTTATCAGGACATAAAGTCCAGTGATATCACTTCATTTTCCAACATACTGTTGTCCCACGTTCAACCTGAGCAGAGGTCTACATGTAATCAACTAGAATAAGGTGCAAACACCTCTGTGGGTGCACAGGTAGAAAAACAATAGTGGATGATTCAGTTCTGGTGTTCATCACCAGTTGCAGATACATTGTTACCTCAACCAAGGAGGTTATGTTTTTCAACTTTATAAAAAAAATACTGAACCCAATTGCACCAAACTTGGTGGAGAGATGGGGCATGGGCAAGGGAAGAACCCATTAAACTTTGGTACGGATCTGGTAAAAGGGGCTGATCCAGGAACTTTTATCACTTTCCTCAACATAGCAAGTTAGGGCATTTTTCAACATTTTCGTCAATATTTCGCCTTGGCTGAGATATACAGTCTACTTGGTGACATTCCTGTTTTAATGAATGTCACTGCTGTCTGAAAAATGACTCTCTCTGTCTGTCTCTTAGTATTGTGTGTGCGCGTGCAGAAAATCTGGAAAAAAATTGTTTTTAAAACTTTACTTAAAGGATTATTTAGAGGTTTGAACCATTGGTCAGGACAAAACCAAAACCTAACACAAACTAAGCTGGTATACATTATCATATGGGTTAATAAGCTAACCTCTGTTAGTGCTTGAAATTCATCAATCTAAAAACTTTACTGATTATTGCAAAGCATTTGAAACAGTAAATTATTAATATCCTCTTGATAAACCCGGGATGTAATTTTTTTGCTTCTATATGTATATGAGGCAGCAATCTTCTATATGTAGATGTTATTTTTCCCTTTTCAAACATTCATCATCTACATGGCTTGCTAGAACTGAAATGTATATGAATACAGGTCTATTAACAGAATATCTTTTCTTAGCCACTCTTTCTTTGGCAGAAAATATTGAAAAATGTTGTTGTATTAATTATGATCTCTTGACATGCTGCAGTGCAGGAAAGCTGCTTAAAACAAAGTCAAGTCGGTACCCTGTGAAATTTTCTTATGAAATAAAAATGACAGCTGAGAGAGAATATCCACTTTGCCATCCTAGGACTTTTGTTTTGGCTGTCAATCACTTAAGAACACATCAACCCTTTTCAAATGGTAGTCATCTCAATTGTAGGTATTATCAGTAGGTTTACATGTTATCCATTATAAGTAAATTGCCAGCAGACAACAGCCATGGTGGCAATGATGTTACGAAAAAAGAAGACTGGAAAAGGAATACAAAGTAAATGAATGTTTTCATGAGTCTGACAGCGCATAAGCACAAAGGACATACAGTGCGAGTGCACATCAGACACATCAATATGAGGATAAACAACCCCTTTTATCATATCCCATCTGGATCTGTGGCGTCTGTACACTAGATGGGAAAGAAGAGGGCTGTCTTGTATAACTGCACTTGCCCAGGGCTCAGGAAACTCGTCACAGACGTATCTGCCTCCACAGTTTTTCCTTTCAGAGTATGAGTAGGTACCTGACCGTTATCCGTCCTGCAGAAAATATAGAGGCTGACTGATATGACATAAATCCTCCTCTTCACTCTCCTTAAAAAAATCACTCTAACTCACTCGCTCACTCACTCGTTCACTCACTCGCTCGCTCACTCACTCACTCACTCACTCACTCACTCACTACATTGCAGCCTTCTGAATATTCAGTTGATAAATGGTGCATGAGTGATGCCATAGAAA